TGTTATATATGAGATTTTTATATTACATTATTTACATTATTTACACAGAGAAAGAATAAGATATGGGATGATGAGTTGTTATTAGTTACCAAGCGTATATTGCTGAGCAACTCGGACATCTATACATTGTGGAATATCCGTCGCGAAGTTTTCGAAAATAACAAATGGTAATGATTTTAATAGAGATATTTGGTTAGTGAAGTAAATGTTAACAGATTAATTTAATAAAATTGCAGGAGTGAGGAAGACTATAAGCAATTGCTTGAAAATGAAATGAATTTGACAGAGCAGTGTCTCAGGGAAAATCCTAAATCATACAGTGTGTGGCATCAAAGATGTTGGGTAATGGAACGGATGTCTGAACCGGATTGGAAGAAAGAATTGTCTCTGTGCGCAAAATGCCTAAACATAGATGAGAGAAATTGTTAGTATGTCATATTTTTCATATGCACAAAAATATATATTTTATAGCAGTATAGCTCTTTTGACTAGTTGACATACTTGAAATTACATTTTTTTTACTATAGTTCACTGCTGGGATTACAGAGAGTTTGTTGTACAAAAAGCTGGGATTTCTAATGAGGAGGAGTTTGAGTTCTCCACCACAAAAATATTGAATAACTTTTCAAATTATTCGTCCTGGCACTACAGAAGTCGAATATTAACCAAAATGTTTGGCACTATGTACGAAGAGATACCAATTATAGATGAAAAGTATAGAGAAGGTAAGGTTTTTGTAAATTATTTCGTACCACTCAATATTTTACATCTTCCGAAGTAACAAACGATATTTTTCAGAGCTGGATCTAGTCATGAATGCAACGTTTACCGATCCCAATGATACTAGCGCATGGTTCTATCAAAGATGGCTTTTAGATAAGTGCATAACAACTTGTAGATTGTGGCGTGCTCAAATTGGAAAAGATTCCGCTGTTATTGTTATCGACAACAATATACTGATTAAACCAATTTCTCTCTCATTATACGTGAATGGCAAAACTCTTGATGTACAATGGCAATCATATCCAAATGAGAAATTTGCCAAGTTACATATAGCAGAGTTTGCTAGTCCTTTGGAAGATTTAGAGCATACCAAAGAAGTTTCTGTAAAACTGCAAGAAACAATGTATCAGCTTTCGTATTCGGAGATGGAAGGTACATGGATTTACAAAGATAAATCGATTTTGCACAAACAAAATAGCAACGATAAACAATTGAACGAACAATTAAAAAGTTACAATAAACTTTCTGAAATGGAACCAAATAATAAGTGGGCCTTATTAACTGGTATATTACTGATGAAAAAGATCGATTTCAGGAAATTTTATATTGATATATTAAATAATCTGACAGCACTATTGAAAGTCGATAGTCTTCGCAGGAATTACTACAAAGATTTGCGTAAGTAATATTTTTTTTTATATTAAAATTTCTTTTTTTGATTTTAATAATTATATCAATTAACTTTTTGTTTATTCATTATACACATGTTATCAATGCTACTTGTAATTTTAGGAAGCAAACTCTTAACAGAATATAAATTACTCGAAACATGGAAGGAAGAAGATAATTTAGAGATACAAACAAAAATTGATTTATCAGGTTTAGATTTAACGAAAGTACACAATAATTACTATTTTAGCTTTTTCAAGGATGTAGACTTTAGCGCAAATCAGTTAGAAAATTCCTTACATCAGCTTATCACATTACAACGATGCACAAAATTATCACTGTCCAACAATGGCTTAACATCATTGAAACGTTTTCCTACTCTACACAATCTCGAAGAACTCTCTTTGAAAAATAACAAGTTAGTAAACACGGAGGAGATAGCCAACCTAATAAAACGACATAAAAATTTGAAAAGACTAGATTTACGAAATAATCCAATATGTGAAGAGATCGATATAACTAAAATTCAGGGTGTAAATTCTCACATAGAAATATGTTTAAAATAACATTAGGGAAAACATATAATAATTAATAAAACATATTTGTAATTATAACTTTTATGCAATCTGTTGTCTGCTGTTTTTACTATTTTTATCACATAGATATTAAATCAAATTCGGATACAAGTAAACGATTTTATCACAGCAACTTAATTGTAATATCACGTATCATATTTGTTCATTCTGACATAAGAAAAGGCTCCCATACATCACTACAACATTACCTTTTTCTGTGCTTTTACATATCTGTGATGGGCTCTTTATAAATACAGGCAAATTAATAAAACTGCGATAAAAGATTATTATTAAAAACTCCTCTCAGCTAAATCCTACCGCAATCGAAATTTATTAAACGCATTCAGCATAAATAATACCTGGATAACGTTTTTATAACTAATACTACATATTCTGATAGTAACCGGAATAATTATCCGAATTCAAGTCAGCCGGAGTTATGGATGAATCGCCTGTGTTGCATGGGATTGTCGGTATATTTGATCCTTGAACCGTGAAGCCATGATAATCTTCCGAATTAATCGGTTTTAAAACGGGTGGCAGATTCGTATCGGGTGTAGGACATTCGTCTAATAAACTGTCCGTCATGTGTTTTTTAAAGAATTGCGTTTCGCCAGATGCAAGATCGGATTGAGTGTCCAAGCTGATAAGACTAGTCTCATCCTCGCCTTTGCTAACTTCCAGACTATCGTCGCCAATGAAGGATGGAAAATCGAACGTTGGCGACGGTGTCACGGAATCTTCCACTAATGATGTTCTCATTAAATCACTCGACAAATCCGTCATTACACCGCCATTCATATTATCGACAGAGTGTGGATATATCTGTTGGAGAAAATATATCGTGGGATATAATTCAAAAATAAGAATTGCATTTAATCATTCTTACCTGTGGAATAATTGGTGGTGGTAATTGGTAACTTTCAATATCCTCACTATCTAAATTGGTAGGCACTCTCTGACTGTGAGATATTAACAGCGGCGTCCGTTCAATCACTTTACTCACGTCATCTCTTATTTTTTCTTTAAAATCCATCATTTTATTTTTCAATTCTTCTGCTTGCTTGATGATATCGGTATTTTTAGCTTGCAAGTCATCCAACAAAGTTATATCTTCACACATGAAATGTAAACTCTATAAAAATTAAACATCGTAGATTATATCTCCACAAGTAATCAATTTTCTCCAATTTTACAAAGATATATTGTAGATATTACTTCACATATCATAAGAGCTGACTCCCACGTATTAGCTGGAACGCATTCTCCTGACATGTATGCATTAAAGTCCTTCTCAGCCATATTCAAAGATTCTGCCGTTAAGTTTTCGATAAATGATACCGCGCAACACTGCAACGAATAATTATTTAAAATAATAGTAACAGAGTCTTGCTTCCCGAGAAAAAGGAATTAGCGAATAAAACATTTATATTTAGAAAACTGTACCAGATTTGTAAAGTAATATCCTCCTTCCCCGGTCATTAATCTGCTAGCGTTGCAAAACCTCGTAATAAAATTTATATTGCTCTTAAGTCGTGCCGGATTAGCCTTTAAAACGATAAATATGAGCGCTGGAAGGAATTCATCAGCGGATGCTGGTCCATCGACGGATTGTTGCAACAAGAGGAATATATTTCTACAGCAATGAATAACACATGCCAATTTTTCTTGAGGTGCTTTAGCAGAATCCATATTTAAAAGATCTAAAATAAATTTGTATTCTACATTATACAATATATACAATGTATATACGATGTATATAATCAAATTGTAAAGCTGTGAACAATTATACTATAATTATATATAATAATTTCATGAAATTAATAATATGACAAACCTGTAATGGATGTATAGACGAGTTCTCTAACTTCCGAACTTGTTTCGTGAATCCTACATTCCAAATTCTTGCCACTCACCCAATTTAATTGCCGTATCCTATAAAGAAAGTATTACTGCTAATATTCTCTATTAAATATAAAGTTTAGCTGTTCCAAAATTTTGATATAAACCTTTTCTGTATAGCCAAGTCTTTTTCTTCGTCTGTCGTGAATGGAGGGCAAAAAAGAATTCTATACAACAAAGTCATTGCATACCTTTCGACATAATCTAACAGTTTCTCTTTGATATCTGAAGATATGTCTGTAATAGTGAGATGGATAAATCCAAATTCTTTTTCAAGATAAAGTAAATATATATATAGTATATAGATAAATATGTATATGTATATATGTAAAGACAAGTAAATATGTATATAAATAAAAACCTGCATATTTAGTGCTGTTTTCCAGACGTTTCCCGAATATATGATAGAAGTTCTGCGTTATTTCTGACAGTTCTTCTATCCTCTTCACATCCTTGTTCTGTAGTATGTCTATCACAAACGAATGTATGCACTTTCTTACATCTTTCTCCACTGGCGTCTTAGCTATGTACAACAATAAATCTCGATTTTCCACCTTGACTTTTTCGAGATCTGGATTATCCTTTAGTAGCTCATGATATAATTCCTGATATCCCTGAACTTGAGATATATAAAAGAACAAAAGCGATAAACATATTGCAATCATTTATGCTGTAACATACAGTTATTTACAAAATATAAGACTTGCAAGACTTACCTTTCGCAACAGGTTTCCTGAACGAAATATTCAACAATTTGTACTTTTTCTCTTGCTGTATCTTTTTCTCCTCGTAGCCCTTGTGAGTCCCAGCACTCGTTGAACGATTAGCATTGTCTCTATATATAAAGAAGTAAAAAAAAAAAATGTTATGTTTATACAGAGACAAGAAAACATAAATAGGCAGATCTTACGCGTCCAAGGTTTGCGCATGGGACACGCGCTCGGCCTGAGCCCGTCGTTTCTGCAGATGCTCCCGATGGCACTTGCTGCAATAGCCTTCCCATTCCGCATTGCCATAAAATCCGCAACCGTTCCTGCACTTGAGATCGGCCTCGTCGATCCGTAAAGTTGGCGTCTTCGTCGAATACATAACGATTGAGGGAAACGCCGGCCTTAGGAAGGATCCGTCCTTCACGTTTGACAGCGAGGAACCGCGTACTCTGTACTATCAACTATCACTTAACCTAATCTGTACATTCAAGTTTCATTCGAGAAACAAACTTGATCTATCACGCTTTAATCGCCGTCGATATTGGACGGCATCTTTCGCGTTCCCGTAACTACAACGGTTGACGCTCAGCAAATCACTCACACTCGTCGACTTAAATCGTTATCGTAGAAACGAAAAAGGCGGCTGACAGAAGAGGAGCAGAAGAAAACATAAGTGGCATGGGATAGATCAAGCTAATAAGAAATTAGATAGGACTCATGTAGCTGAATCGAGATTTTTATCCTAGCCAATCAGCATCTCCGATAGATTTGTCAGAGAATTGAGAATACCGCCTTAAAGCTAGTGCTTCCAGAAAGAGAGAAAATAAAAAATCATAAACACGACGTGGTTGAAACGCGGTGGAACGTAGTTCTGTTGCGATTTTTAATATTCAGTCTTCGAAATATTTTTAAGCGTCCTAAGATATCTTTCTTGATTGAAATTTATGATTTATTTACATATTTGTGATTTTCGACGACTGTGATGAATCCTTTAACGTACGAATCCTTTTTAATTTATGTACTGGTTAAGAAAAAATAGGCTAGAAATGTGAATAAAAATATATTCGATTACATTAATAATCTGATTATGTATTTCTTACATGTTACATTTAAAAATTGACTTGATTAAAAATTTTTACTTTGCAAATTAAAAGATATGAGCAAATTATACTTTCAGGAATGTCAAAAATATAAGGAAGCTCAATGAGCAAGAATTGCAAGGTAGAAACAAAACATCATGGCATGATCAGTATAAAGATAGTGCTTGGATTTTCATTGGTGGCTTGCCATATGACTTGACGGAAGGCGATGTTATTGCTATCTTTTCTCAGTAAGTTAAAGTTTATATTTAATTTAGATAATTTGTTCTTTATTGCTCGGCATTGAATTAAAAATTTTGTTCTCTCTAAGCTTCAAATATGTCTATATGTTTTAAGTATAAGTATAGTTCAACTATAAAAAAAAAACAGATATAAAATCATATTATCATATTATCAATGTATTTTCAATATAAATATTATTCATTACAGATATGGAGAAGTTGTTAACATAAATTTAATCAGAGACAAGGATACGGGGAAGCAAAAGGGCTATGGCTTCTTATGTTACGAAGATCAAAGGAGCACTATATTGGCAGTTGACAATTTCAATGGCATCAAGGTATTCTTATGGGATATGACAGTTTTGTTAACATCAAATAAATTTAGAATAGTGATAATTTTAGCAGATAATAAATTTCAATCATTTTTTTTATAACAATAGATATTATTTGCATTATTTCTACAAATATATGAAAAAGATTTATTCCTCTACAAATTATAATTGCTTGAAATATTCTATCAAAAGTGTTTCTTTTTTGCTAGATCTTAGGAAGAGTAATACGAGTGGATCATGTTACCAATTACAAAGCACCAAAAGATTCGAAAAATATAGACGAGGAAACGAGAAATTTACGAAAAGAAGGTTGTGCTCCAAAAAAGAGTTGAGAGTATACATTATACTCTGTGAATGTACATAAAAAAATGTGAAATACCAATATTTCTAAATATTATTTCGAATGTATTATGTATAGATTTACACTTAAATTTAATTTATACTTAAATATATTATTGACTAAGAATTCTCACTTATGACTACTTTGTTACTGCCAGTTAAGTCTTTAGTATTACAATTCAAATTAAAAATATTACCCAACTTTGATCTCATATTATTCCTATCGTGCAGTCTTATTTTCCAATTTGATTTTCAAGTCTTAGAGTATAGAGAACCATAGTCATTTAAGAATTGCAAAAGATTAAGAAGCTCCCAGTTTTTTGTATATGTTAAATAGAATGATATTGTAACATTAAATGTGGTCAGGAGGAATGAATATGTTAACAAGTTATATTATTTCTTGGCAGAATGATATCAAGAGGAACCGAATTCGCTCATCCATTTCTCATATTTTTCCAAGTCCTCTTGAGAAACGCTTTTGTTACATCTTTCAACAGCTTCATCGAAATCTGCGGCAGATACAGGCAAATCCAACTCTTCTTTCGGCAATTGTCTGATCTGGTCTGGCCTCAAACCCGCGATTTTCTTTCGCATTAACATCATGGAAGCGTCCCTAAATAACAGACGTCCAAGTAAAATAAATTGGAAAATTTATATATAAGCTACTATGTAACAATCTCTACTCACCTGCAAACATTTGTAATATCCGCGCCAGAATAACCCTCGAGTTTCCTTGCAATATCAGTTAAATTTACAGACGAATCTACTTTAACTTCACGAAGGTTTATCTTTAATAATGCCTCTCTGCCTTCATCTGCAATAAATGTAGTAAAACATATTTTATAAAAATTATATTTCATTTATTGAAGTGGCCAGTGAAATTTAGTGAGAGACTTACGATTTGGTAGTGGAATGTAAATACGTTTTTCTAAGCGTCTTCTTAAAGCTTCGTCGATATCCCATGGGAAATTTGTTGCTGCTAGTACCATTACCACTTTGCTTGGATCCTCACTATATAAAACAGAAATATTTAGTATTTACACATGTTATCAATAAAATAAATGTTACCAATACAATATGAATATTGTACAGTGTTTTACCTATTTGAACTTATTCCATCCATTTGGACAAGAAGCTCGGATTTTACGCGACGTGAAGCTTCGTGTTCGGATTCAGATCCTCTTCTAGAGCATAGCGAATCAATTTCGTCGATGAATATTGTGCTGGGCGCATAAAATCTGGCCTACAAATAACAGAACATAATCAATACTGTGAATAAAATATTACGTTTTTTTCATCTAACAAAAATTCTCTTTCCTTTTTTTAGTCTTTTAATATGTACATTATGTAATGTTTTGATTGTTTTACCATTTCAAATAGTAATCGAACGAGTTTCTCTGATTCACCCCTATATTTCGACGTCAATGTAGAGGATGAAACATTGAAGAATGTTGTGCCACATTCTGTTGCAACAGCCTTTGCGAGCATAGTCTTACCTGTGCCGGGTGGTCCAACCATTAATACTCCTTTCCAAGGTCGTCTGATTCCCTGAAAATAAAACATATATGTGAACATAAAATATAATAAAATTTCATTACATGATCAAGATTAAAAAAATATATATATGTATATATACTTTGAAGAAATCAGGCATCCACATTGGAAGAACAACTGCTTCCTCCAACAATCGCTTTGCTTCATGTAAATCCGCTATGTCGTCCCAATGGATATTTGGATTTTTTTGAACAATATCTCTTTCTACAATATTAATATGAACTTATTTTTAAATTTTAAATATGAATTTATTTTTAAATCTTCTTCATTGAAATGTTTTTGAATAATAATAATAATAATACAATAACTAATAGCATTACCTAATATTTCTACAAGATCTTTATCATTAGCAGATGGTTCAAATTTACGTTCTTCTAATTCAACATCCTTTTCTGTTTCTGATTTGTCCTGAAATTATCAGATATATATCAGATTCTGCAACTTATATTAATATTTGCAATTTATTATAGATAATCGGTAAATCAAGAAACCTTGCTTGCATCATCTTTTTTTACAGTTTTTTTATCATCCTTTTTGCTAAGAGCTTTACTATCTGGTTTTTTAGCTATGGCAAGAGATTTCTTAGTATTTGTTCGATTCTGCTGCTTCTGTTGAACCTTTTGTTGTCTGGAATTTCTGAAAAGTACATATAAGATATAAAAGAAAAGTAACTATAATTAGATTAAATGATAAAAAAAGTAACAATTATTAAAAAAAAAGAATACTACCATCAGAAAAGAGAAAGAGCTTAACAAATACATTTGCCCCATAATAAATTAATAAATCATAAAACATTACAAATTTATATACTTTTGTTCTGCTGGAGTTAAAGGAAGCCAGACATCTGGATCCCTAGGTGGCATCTGATTCCAAGAGGAATCTGAATTGTTGTAAGACCAAAAGGCAGAATCTCTCGTTGATTCCTCAAGTGATGACAAACAGGATGTTCCTAAAATTTACAGACTTGTTAGATCGCCTTCATCTCAAATATGTTATCTTAATTGTATTACCGAGTAGTCTCTCGCTATGCGCATCTACTTTAAAAAGCTGTAGCGTATTAGATGTGGCTTTCACTTTCTCAAATTCCTCGACGATCTGGTGCTGTACCACTTGCCACTTGGCCTTGCGAGTCGCGTCCGCTATTGTCGCAAGTAACCTATGTATCTGTTGCACGACTCCTTGATAATAGACACCGGACGTGTCATAATTCCCCATCAATGCCATTTCACGCGCGAGCTTCGTGTTCTCGCAAATCTCGTTTACCGACACAGCCATGATTTTGCCGCTCGAGAAGGTATAAACGAGGCGCAAGACTTATCACGTTCTCGAAACGAGATATTTCGACAACAGTGCAATCAGGTTTCTTCTTAAATCCTGCTGGAGTTGTAATGGCAAAAGTTCATTTAACACCTCAGCGTACATTTTTCTTTCTCGCTACAATCGACATATCAAAGCTACATTTACATAACTCAAGATTAAATCTCGTCGGACAGTTACGCTGTGCATAAATTAATTTCGATAATAGTTGGATAACAAAATTAACAAATCAATAATAGCAAGTTAAATAATCGCTCTCGTAGAAATTATAAGTCTCTACTAATTTTTCATCGCGCTTGTTTAACATTTTCGTTGTACCACAGAAATATTTTGTAGTATCACAAGAAATCACACGAAAAAACGCTCTCTCTCTCTCTCGTCGTCATGAAGCACAACAAAGCACAACACAAAGTCGAAGTACTCGTATAAGACATCGCAAGAAACTATTGACTTCTTTCTTGACCAATTGCGTTTGAATAATTCGGCCAATTAACCAATGCGATTGGTCAATTCTCTTTCCATCCGAGATCTCGGACCGATTTCTAGCATCGTAGACAGGGAGCGTCCCGATGCCTATGTTAGTGTCCACAATAGGTGATTTAAGCTTTAAAAAGTAAGAAATTGACCAATTATAATCGAATATGAAAAGAATAATCGACTATGATTGGTCAATTTCTTACGACTTAAAGATTAAATATTTATTGTGGACCGACACTTACAATGGCTGCGTTCAGCAGAGAAAGCAGATCAGTGAGTCTTTCAGTGATTCTTTATTATGATTGGTTTTTACACTTAGACTTCAACGAAGATCTAAAAACAAGAACCAATCATATTGAAAAATCACCGAACGCTCGCACTGATTTGCTTTTTCTGCTGAACACAGCCAATTGGACACAGCCACTTACAGCGACCGATGCTTGGAGATTTTCCACTGGATCAACCAATTAAATAATTTTATTTTAAATCGGCCAATCGGCAACATGGGCACGGGCGCCACTCTCCGTGGACACAAAGTCTATAGTGTATACATTCTGCACCATGGAATCGCGCCATTAAAATAGTCAACTATATGATGGTTTTTCGAACGCAACCGTTAACGATGCTTGGCGGTTGCCTGTTGGCGTTTTCCTGTTGAGTCACTCTTGTTTCGTAGTTTGTTGAGATCGGTAACGTCTCAAATCGAAGAGGATATATTTCAACGGTTGAAACGAATTTTCTAGAAATTTTGACTAGAAATTGAGGAAAGAGATGGTAATTATCAAATGTATTCTATACACAATGCTTACGCATTTAATAAACTATTCGGTTCATTTCGGTATTTTATTTCATCAATTTCGTCACACGTTTATTTTTCCAATTTCGATTTACGTGATTCGGTTATGATCGTTAATTATACATATTAAATCGATGTTAAATCGATTCGTGAGGAAACATGCAAAACCAAATTCCTTGATTTTAATGAAATTTTGTGAAAATATTGAATGACTCAATGTTATTTTCTTGTAAATTAAGGATATAATTACGCAAAAAAGGCTTTCTTTCGACTTTCGAAAATCATGATCTTAAGTTTATCTCTACCAATAAATCCGCTTTAATCTCGGTTTACTTTATCTTTTTTGAAATTTTAAAATTAAGAAAAGTAGTCAATTAAAATTATTCTACGTTGGAATATATGAGAAATATCTTTGATTTTGAAGCCAAAAGAACACTTTTACTTTTTCGCATATAGCTCAAATTACAAGAGATAAAAAAATATTTCAATGTGAGTTTAATGATGAGTTATAGATTATAAAATATAAACAGATATTTAAAAAACATAAAGAAAATTAAAAATAAATTGTTTTTGTTTATGTTGCTTTGTAGTCTCATCTTTGTAACTCATCATTGAATTTTGATGTAAACCTTGTTCATTATTGTTTTGTAAATATTGTTCACTGTTTCCTATACTTGAAGAGTTATATGTAAGTAAAATGTTTTTTTTTACTGTGAGTCAAAAAATCATATTCTTTCAAAGACATTAAGGTATTACTAACACATGACCTTATTTATCTAATCAAGGCTTTCAAATCGCTTCTACTTTGATATGGACGGAATATATTATCTTTGTTAAAAATGGGTTAGAATGAAATTTTTACTTGTAAAATTTATAGAAATATAATTAGATAATTCTTAAAACATTAATACAGCTTCAATTGAATAAAAGGCAAATATTAACAACGCTATTTTTTATAACGACTAACAGTAATTTGTATGAGTAATAAATAAAAATTTTATTTCTATTATTTTCATCGATTGGAATTTGCTGCCAGTCTGATAAAATTTGTAGAAATGAAAGTAGATTGAAGGCAGTTAGATTCATTGCGACCGATCTATATTTTATTTTATTCTAGATTTGATGGAAAACTAGATTATTCATATAGTCAGTCAGTCAGTTTACAAAAATTTACTAAATTGAATTTGGGTTTGCAGTGTTCATTTGTCAGGTAACTTTCTCATTATTTGTATATTTTTTTAATTTTATGAAAAATTGTGTTAATGTTTTTAAGTTAAAGGATTAAATTTAAAATTACGAAATTACGAAACTTCTATTATCGATTATAGGAAAAATTTCTCTCACATACATTTATTCACTCACTATTTTTAATATTTAATTCTTTATATTCAACATTTGGCACATTTTGACTTAACATTAAATGCTTATGTGTCTTTTGTTCTTGCATGTTTTACTTTTTATTTATTGCAATTTGTGTATATATATTTTTTGTTTATAATTATAATGCTTTATATTATCAAGGCAGAGAAAATGGGTAAAATAAAGGAAAAGTGTGGAGATAATACGGATCAAGTCACCAAAAAGAAATTGCATGAAATAAAAACTGGTTCTATAAAAAAGAACAAAAATTCCAAGATCAAGGATGCTGAAAGGCAAAATAAATTTAATGAAGGATTTAAAGATACAGAACAAGAAAAATGCTCAGAAAAAGATTTCAAATGCAAACAATCAGAATCAGAATTTGTCTGAACAAAAACACAAGAGTGATGTGAAGCAATCAAAATATAATTCTACAAATAAAAATCAAAAATCTAAAGATAAAACAGAAAAGAAATCTGCTGATACAGAGGGGTCTTTAAACGATGTACAAATCCCTGCATACGAATTATCGAATGTAACATATGAAGAAGATGATGAGGAGGATTCAGACGTCCCAGATATCTTTGGAAAGAGTTTAGGAGATGATTCAGATGAAGATGATAAGGATTTTGAAGAAATTGAAGATGAGGATACTTCTGATTCTAGTAGTAATAGTAGTAGTAGTAGTAGTAGTAGTAGTAGTAGCAGCAGTAGTAGTAGTAATAGTAGTAGTAATGAAGATAGCGAAATGGTTGAAAGTAAAAATATAAAATTGTCGAAAGATACAAAGTCTAATGCCAAGGAAAATGATAATAGCAATAAAGAAAAGACAGTTGAATTTTATAAAGGTATAAAAATGTTTAAAGGTTTATGTTCTAAAATCAAAGAGAATGATGATAAGAAAGATGAGAATGATGATAAGAAAGATAAGAATGATGATATAAATGATAAGGATGAAAGCGATGAGAATATGGAAACTTCTTCAGATAGTGACATAGGTTCTGACATGATGGAAGATGATGGTGTGATTAGGAGTGTTGAAGAAATGTATCGAGCATATGCATTGAATAATAAGAAAAATGATTCCAATAATGAAAATAGTAAAATGGAGAAGGATGAAGATGAGAACGAGGCTGAGGATGAGGAAGATAGAGATGAGGATCAGGATAAAGTAAACGAAGATTTAAAAATAGGAGATATAGATGATTACGAAGAAAATAGTAGTGATGATGATTATTATTTTAGTGAGGATGAATACGACAGTGATCATGTTGTAGGGCTTAATCATTTACCTAGAAATTTTAATGATAGGAAAAATAACATAGAAAAGGACAAAAATTTGACAAGAAATAATAGAATGATTTTTGTTGATAATATTCCAAGAAATATGACAGAAGAAGATCTAAAAGAAATATTTATAAGGTTTGGGATCGTTAAAGTAACTTTTGTGCCTGGTTTTATAGAAACTGGAGCTGCTGCGGAACAACAAATATGTAAGATTGTTAAGTTACAACGACCATTAAAAAAACTTTCAAGAAAAGCAATTGTGACTTTTATATCTGAAAAAAACGCGTTCGACGCACTTACTTATAACGGAGTATTAGTGAGAGGACATTACCTTAATGTGCTGCCTCACCCTATAGAAGAGTTGAGATATAATGACTTTAAGAGATGTGTATCTGTAAAAAACCTATCAAAGAGTATGTATAATAAATTGTTGGTAATGAATTATTGTAATTATATAGCATAAAAATTAATATTTTTAAAATTTCAGATATAGATGTTAATTCTATCTGGAGACATTTTTGTCACTGTGGAATAATACAATCTGTCCATGTAATGCGTGATGAAAAAACAGGGGACTGTTTAGGAGAGGCCTATGTTGAGTTTAAAGAAGAAGTACCTGTACCTAAAGCTATGTTGTTAAACAATACGGAAATTGAAGAGAATTGTTTAATTAATGTATCACACTGTTTGTTCGAATGGTTATATTCGACACATTCGGAAGTAAGACAAGGAGCCGCTTTTATCGATTTCCTTTTGGAAAATACAAGGAAACACAAAGAAAAGACAGAAAAAAGAAAGAATAGTTCGCAAGAATCTGCAACACAAAATGTATTTCATTCTTTCATAATATTGTTTTTTATAATAAAGATAAAACGTTTCATGTATGTATATATTTTTGTTTTTTGCAGGTTGAAGGAAAGGCTAAAAAGCAGAAAACACAAGAGAATGATAATGCAAAGCTTGAAGAAAAAAAGTCTGTTACATTTCAAGGCCAAAAAGTTGAATTAAAAAACAAAAAGAAGAAACTCAATAAGAAAAAGAAACAAATGGCAAAAAAGCTCATGGCTAAGTCGATTAAACCAGCAAACTCTTAAATTAATGATATAATGTATTTTATAGTTTTTAGATGGAGAGATACTATTAAAAACTCTCAAAGTCTTCAAATTTTCATTAATTGCTAAGTAAATAATAATAAAGTAAAAAAACTCAGATATAATTAAAAAATATAAACAATTTAGCTATCGAAGTAAATTTTTTCGATCGTTGAAAATTTTCGATCTGAATAATTAATAATATTTGTTAAGTTCATTTATTATTACATGAGTCTTTTGTGTTAATAAGCACATATATATTTTTAACATAATTACATTACGACATTAATATATTGCTGCAAGATTGTAGAACTGCAACAGTTATAACAAATACTGACAAGAGTTACAAATGGTTTTAATGAAAATATTTTTGCGCGTTTGTGTGATCAAAAATTTTTTTTTACGCAAAATGTTTTATACTCAGGGACATGTTCCATAAATGTCGGTTCACAATAAGTATTTAATAAGTATTTAATCTTTAAACTGTAAGAAATTCACCAATCATAGTCGATTATTCTTTTTATATTCGATTATAATTGATCAATTTCTTACTTCTTAAAGCTTAAATCACCTATTGTGGACCGACACTTATTTAATATTAAAGAAAAGAGACTGATATCATGAAGATTGTTATAGTTATAGAAAATATTTCCACGATGCATATGTATTATTTTTCTTCTCTCTCTCATCGTATTGTAACTTTTATTGCCTTTTTATAATAAATTACGATAATAAAAATTTTACATTTTTAAGAATCTATCTGTTTCGATAAATTTCTGATTTTGTCGTGTAATTGAGGTGGGAAGTACTGCACGTTACTGGACGCGCATTTCGAGCAGAAGCGTCTTGTGTAAAATATACTGCATCCTAAACATACAGCTCGCTTGCACATGCTGCAATCGGCGCCCAAGGTTAAGACCTCGCCCCTGTTCGGCAAACTAAATGGATCTTTCATAACGTAACATTCTTCCGAGTAAATCAATTGCCGAGCGAACGGCGGTTTTCCACCCTTGTAATCATAATGTTCCTTTAAAGAACAAAGAGAACATGAGAAAGTGCCGTCCATATTCGTTGTTACTTGTTGACTCGTGGAGAAATCCCGTTGTGTCCGCTCGCTTGTGTTACCAGATGTACCTGGTGTACCAGCGGGATCTTCCGTCCTACAAAGCAACAAGGAATCAAATTCGCTGAAATGTATCGTTAGGCTTTTAGGTAGAAATTTATTTTACATTTGCAAGTTTATGTTATTACAGTTTATGTATCACGTGTGTATACGCATCTCCTACAAAATGGTTACTTGAAAGGTCGCGTATTACTTCGTATCTTTAATGAGAACCGTTTCTCTCTGTAATTCTTGGGGCCACCACGCAGGTTTCACCACTCTTACGTTTATACCGGATACACTGAGCCGTTGGGCACTGAGAGATTCATTTATACGCATCAAGCCTAATCCGTACTTATCGACGCAACCCCGAAATTTTCCTACCACTTTGTCGGATTCGTTGAGAATTTTCTCATCGTATGCGAGCGGTTTATCCGGAATATCGTCAAGCAGCAAGGGCATCAGGCGTTTCCTGACCACACCTGTGTGATACGTGCGCGCAGTTAATTCCTGACCGACGTAGCAGCCTTTGTGAAAGCTAACGCCATGCAAATAATCGCAATTGATTTCCAAAGGCAACGCTTTCCCAGGTGGTAGATCATGCATGCCCTCCCCTACTCCTAGCTTATACCGAAATGCCTTATAATCGCCGACGTTCTCTGACACGCCGGCATCCAAATGTCTGATTATCTCATGTCCACCAATCTGTGACTCGGCAAGAATTCTAAGACCCAAGTCGGGCAGCCTAGGATCTTCGTATATCATAACGCTGTCGACAAACTTGCTAGTTTTACCGCTCAGCGTGCTACACGGAAATATCATTCCTTCCAGTTCACGCGTTTCCTTCACGTCCGTGGAATCTTTCTTATCAGGATATTCATCGGTAGAATCAAACACCGACCAAACATTGATCCTGTCACCCACGTGTTCGATATCTATCTTTCGCCTTACGCGATACATCTTCAGATGCTTCTGCAAAGAGTCGGCGATCTGCGTGTCACACTCGATATAGTACAAATTGCTCTCTTCGCTCTTGTACACGATAGCATCGCACATCACTCT